CTGTGTATACTTGTGATATTTAATGGGCAAACTGCTTTTAGCTGCTTTCTACTGCAGACTGATGTAGACAGTGCAATTTGGTGGAGTGCAGTGTTCCTCTTCTGTTACCGTGCCCAGCTCGTCTCCTTTTAATTCAGATAACTACACATTTAAAGCCGATTTTTAGATTTCTCATTTAACTTCTTTGTTTTTTTGCCAAAACATTTGGAGCAGTATCTGTGCTGCCAAACACAGAAAGTCATTCAAAATCCTGACACAAGTAATAACAGAGTGAAAAAGTGCAAGAGGGCCTCATTAAACTCAAAACAAACAGCAGAACACAGTTCAAATCATTTTAAATTATGCAGATGTATTACAAACTGTGTCGGTGCGCAGCCACTAATCCAATATATTTACCTTATTTACTTTCTCTGGGTTGCTTCCAACTACTATTGAACAGCCACAAGTCTGCAGATGGGAGCTGATGGCCCTGAACCAAAGAGACAAATGCATGCAAATTAGAGGCAATTAGCTTCATTAGCATTACTCTCATTATAACTGACAGCTTTTAGGAAATAGTGACTGAGACTGAGGAAATCTGTCTGAAAAACACTAAGGAAGCTTTACAGAAAGGAGGGATAAAGATGGTAACTGGCTCTGGGTTAGTGGAGGACTACAGAACATCTGCCCACTAATTCTTAACTTTACCTTTTTCCTCATGTGGTTTGGTTCATATCCTTTTCACCATACTTTTAAGAATTAGTTTTTAAAGCATTTTGCCTGAACATCTAGACCAAATCTCTTTTCTATTAAAATATTAAGGCATGACCTGTAAATATCCCTTAGGTCCCAGCACAGATGTTGTTGTCTCCATGGGATGATGAACTAATCCTGAGTTTCATTACCAGAATGGACATTCTGGGCTCTTGACACTTAACAGCAATTTAGCTTCTCTCTTTTCTCTGGAGGAAACTTGGGCTAAGTGAAGAGCCATTACTCATCATTGGAAGGTTGATGGGTGTTAAATGGGCATTGTTCATCATCTGTCTCCATTTGCCTGTGCCGAAGTGCTTACTTGTGGAGGAAATCCTCGTGGCAGCTGTCCCCAATGTCATCATCATTTAGCACGGTGTCTTTTATCTGCTCGGCAAGAACGAGACAAATGAACCATTTTTTGAAAACTGATTTAAAAAAAAAAAAAAAAAAAGACAAAAGCACTGATGTGCACATATGCAGGTGCTGTTATGAAAAGAAGATGCAAAAACACCACTGTGTAGAAAACAGGGCAGAAAGGTTCCAGGGAGCTTTTTTGTTTGTTTGTTGAATTTGCACATTAGAAGGGAACACCTGGGTGGTGATCTATAGTAGACAGAGAACCAGGGGTAATTTAATCCTCTTAAAAACATCTGAACAAGTGGAAATATGAAACAAGTGAAACATTGGCGGCAAAGGTTTTGTTCAAAATTTAACATGTGACTGAATGCAAACATACTCCTCCAGCCACCGCCACCTGTTTAGTAGTTAAGCTATGAACTCTTATTACTTTAAAAGTCTAAAATTTTGAAGGATTGAATTAAATAAACAATGCCAACCATCATTAATTTTTGTAAAATCAGTTACAATGGAAAAATATTTTCCATTGCAGCTCTGTCTGTTTTGGAGGGGGGGGGGGGGAACGACCAAATTCTCAGTATTTTGTGAACCTGAATAAGGTTTCTAATTCCCTTTAGCCACTGTAATATGCTTCAAGTAGTAGAACATTGGAGCATGTGTGTCTGCTGCTCACATCGATATCTTCTGGCACACTGTGTGTCTTCATAGAGGTCAGTAGCTCCATGATGGGGACGATCTCCAGTGTAAGCACTGAGGTGATGTTATAGCCCTGAAGTTAAAGGAAAGAAGAAACAGGAGACTTAAACAATGCACAAATACTAAAGCCAGTTGTCTTCAGGGCACAATGACATTCATTTTTGGGATAGTGGGACAGACGTTCTAGCTTTCAAAAGTGGTTTGTGTGCCTGTTACAAGCTGCTGGCACAGACAAGCTGTGATAGCTGGAAGCCTCATTCTCAAACATTAAAAAACAACTGACAAAATAAAATACATTAGAACCAATCTGTTGAACAATACAGCTTTAGTAAAAAGTTATACTGTCGAATGTCTTGCTTAGTACATGCATCACTATGGCTGCATTATATGCTGTTTTGACAGCAGCAGCAGCATAGCCAGAGATTGAATATGAACCAGATATAGGAACAAATATGTAAGTGGACTGATACTGTGAAAACAAACAAGCACAAGCTCCGAGTCACATGGAGGTAATAAATAAATATTCCTTACTACTTCAGCATGCAATGTAAACCTAGTCTTAAACATATCCTTAAACTTTGTTATCAGCATTCCACAAAATCAGTACTTTACAAAAACATTGCCTCTTTTTTTGTACAGGCGATGGTTCGTGAATTTTTGCCAGGACATGTTCCTTTTTGAAGGAAAATAAATTATTTAGATTAATTGGCTATCAGTAAAACAGTTGACAGATTAATGAACAGAAAAATCTGGTACGAGATTCAGTGCTATTTTTTGACACTTGACAGTTTTCAACATTTAGGGATGCTGATACTTAAAAGGACATTTTGGCAAGTGCCCAAAAAGGACGACCGTATATACTCTAGGCAGACTTTCAAAGCAACACCAGAAAAATAACAGAGGGCCAAAAAGGCCAAGCTGCAGGTGTATAAAATAAAAAGCTATTCAAATATTTATGTCATGGGGAATAATCACAAACACTAGCTAAAGAAACACTAAACAACAAGAAAGTGATAAATACACAGCTGAGTGCAAACGTTTGGATCTCCTTACGCTTAAATGGCAAAAAGAGTAAAGGAATTTTTCTTCTCATCAACATAATATTTAATGGATGTTCAGCTAGTACAAATGTTTCTTCATCTACAGACGTAACAAAAATGGTCATGCAGTGTATAAAAAGAAATGTATAGGAAAATAATGAAACTCATATCAGTATAAACGTTTGTATCCCCCTTTATGAAATGTCCTCTAATACTTTGTATGTCCTCCCTAGCCTCCTCCAACCTCTTTGGGTACCCTCTGAGCAGCACTTATATCCTTTCAGGTGTAATTTTAGCCCAATCTTCATGGTATACTTGTTCCAAGTCTACCAGATTGCTTGGTTGTCTGCGATGTACAGCCCTCATCAAATCATGAGGAACAGCTGTACTAGCTGAACGTGCATTAAACATTATGTTGATGAAAGTAAGGGGATGCAAACCTTTGCACTCAACTGTATGCAGAGTGTAGGAGTTAGACATAGGCCTGTACAGCAGTGTCTGCAATGTAGATTAAAGTTCTGGTTTTCATGAAGTGCTGTGTCACATCATTTTGTCTACCCCACTACTTCCTGCTCACTAGCTTCCTCTGATCTGCCCAATGTTGCTGTCGATTATTCAGTACAATCCTGAAATAAAGAACTAGGGTGCAAAGTTTTATAGTTCCTTTTATGAGCATAAATAAAAGGTAATAATTTGGCTACTGTTGCGTGAATACTAAGCATATGTCCATTAGTGTGAAGTTATTAGATCAGTGGGAAGAGCAGGGTACCTTCTGCATCCAAATGCGCCCCTTGCGAATGACATGTTTCAGCCTCTCCACACAGATGGTGTGCAAAGGCAGGTAGAAGGCCAGCTCTGTCTGAGGCAGAATAATGGACAAGGCACATGTGTTCTTGTCCCCCTTCAGCTCGCCATCAAAGATGAGAGACACGATGATGACACCTTTCTCTGCCAGGACAAAAAACTTCACATCCACAGCGCCACACTCAGCGCTACGCAGAATCTCTCCATTAAGTGTGTGATTGGCCAAAAAAGTGACCTCTCCATCACTGAGGAACATCAGCTGATCACCCTTTGGTGCCCATATGTGACGCACTCGTGGACCCAGGATGTTGTCCCAGTAGGCAAAGGTGGCCGCCAGCAGTGGGCATTCTCCAGCTATCGCTACCTCAGATTTTGCTACAGCAGGTGACTGGGGTGGGCAGCCAGAAGACATTGGAGCAGCTTGGAAATGCCTGTTTTCTATTAGGTTGAATGACAGTCGACCTAAATCAACACAAAAGGTAACAGTTGTGTTTATGGTTCTAGTAAAGGGAATTGATGCATTGGTCTCAAAATCATTTAATGTCCCCTGGAGACAAGAATTTTGAAACTTACCCATGTGATAAGCCATATCCTTTAATTAACCATTTCAGCTAACTAAAACGCTAGCAAAGACACTTCTATGAAAATTATCTGCTCTTAAAATAAGTTGATACTTCATGGACCCACCCAAAGCAACTTCTATTCTTCTGACAATGTCAAGTTTGACATCCGTGAACACATGAACATTAATGAATGTACATTTTCTGCATGGGTTTACCAAACACCATTAAAAGGTGTGACAATTATTGTTTTCTACACAATACACAAAATATACATTAGTCAGATACTGACCCAAAGGCAGATGCTAATCCCCATGGGCTTTTGTTGAATTCGTCCTATACAAGTAATCTATTACAGTTTTTGTTTCCGTAACAGAATTCTCCTATTACTTTTACTTTTCTATCCGCTCCCTAGATTAGAGGGACGCATGAGATTGAATTGTTGTTTGGTTGACCACATCTATGCCGAATTACCAGCATCACCTAGGAATTAAGAATTTGTTGCCGTTTTGTGACAAGGCTGCTATGTATATTCGCAATGTGACTTTGTTTTGACAGCTTTTACAACAGAAACATGGTGGTACACATTGAAGTCTTGACTGAAACAAACATGAAGTGGCTGCAGCTAGTTGGTGAGGAATAAAATAACAAAACAACCATAGTGCTGAATCAGTCAATATTTTGTAGCAGGTTATTTCAGGCTTTTGAAGCCAGGATAGCTCGCTAACTAGCTTTAGCCAAGCGAACACTGACAAAGCAAGGAATGACATCGCCATGACTTACTCGTTCGATCTTTTTAGTGTAAAACCGCCACACTACCGCGTTTCTAAAAGAAGACTTTCAAACACTGCTGAAAACTCATCATTGTAGTTTTTCCGTCGCTGCCATAGCATGTAATACATACAGTGCACAGGATGTAATTAGCTAGCGGCACTTTTGTTGTCCTTATTATGCCTTCCTAGTACGTACCTCTTACGTCACCCATAGAGGTGCCCAGCGCCCTCTAGCGACCGAGGTGTGGCAGTGGACAGTAGATGTATGATGTCATTTTTACTTCAGGCAGTCACCTGCAGAGAGCTAGTTATTTACACTCTGTTACACGGAGTCTGACGGTACTAATGGGCGCATCTGCAGAAAATACTGTGTTTGTTTTGTGATTTCTGAGAGTCTTGGTTCTGGAGACCTAATACTGCCTTTTCTTTTTATTCCCCTTCAGCCACACCACTGATAATTCCGAAGAGTACCTGGCTACAGGCCTCTACCAGGGGCGCCTTGCTGACAGATGTTAATTGGAATTTGTTACTTTTCCTTAAGGAAATAGCTAACATTTTCAGATTGTAATCACCCTTGATCCTTCTTTATCCTGAGGACTGGCTCATCTATTGCAGTTATGCAGTGAGCTCCTCCCATCACAGACAGCTGTTTGAATTCATCTACAAACACAAATACCATCACAGCTATTCTCAGCCCTGCATATTCATCTACACGCTGTCTGTGTTTACACCTAATTTACAGTATTATTCCTAATGATCTCAGCAAGATGCTAAAGGGACAGATGACACAATTCTCTCTAAAAGGCTCATCAGCAATTCAGTCTGAACTGTTCCTGCAAACAGTCAGCTCTAATAAGTAACAGTTACATCAGACATTAAAGGTAACATACTCATTTGTGCTGGTGGCTCAGTCGTGAACCGTTTCTATATTTTCAACCCCAGTTCATGTCTGTTCTCTTCAGTCTGTTCCTGGCTGGTATTTTCAATTTCTTCTGAAATCTCTTGTGGCCTGTTGCAATCCAGCGCTGCAAATCTCACTGAGTAAACCAGTGGTGGATAGGCTACAAAAACCAAGCAGCTATTTTCTACAGGCTTACCAGCCTTTTCAGTTTGGCTGAATCCTTTCGCAAACCTCAACATGATATCTTCCCTCTGCAAAGTGAGGTCCCTGAAGTAAACAGTTTGATGAGTCTTAGGCTACAATAGATCAATAGATCAGTAGATCCTTGCTGGTTCATGTCTACTCATATTTCAAAATCCTTAGCTTTACTTACTACCCTAGCTTGTGTATTTTTAGTATTTATTCTGTACTGACCTGCTCCCTTTAAACCAATCTGCTATCTCTCCCAAGACTTAAACAAATAGTTGGACATGTCCTCATACAGGACTAATTTTGCAAACAGACAAAAGTAGTCATAATATTAGTCTTTAAATATGTAGAACATATTAAAGCATGTTGTAAATGATAGTGACACATTCATTTTCTTTCTATCATATTGTTCTTTCTTTCCTCTTCTCCTTTCCCAGTGCTTGCATTATTTCTTCTTAACAAATTCTGTTTGCTAGCCCTTCTCTCAGTGATGAATGTCTATGATCCACATAGAATAACAAGCCACAAATAGTTTTTTTTAATGAAACAATATGTGAAGAATTGGCCAGCTAGACAAAAGTTACCTCCTACTGAAGTTTTCAAAGTCACTTGCTGTCAAAAGCCACTCCAGCCTGTGTACTTCCTGGCCTCAGTACTGATGTGATTGCACTTTGAAAACAGCAGCTGCACTCAGAAGTGACAAACTGATTTCAGTTAAGTCTTCCCACTTCTCTACATTTTTCAGTCACAAAAATTCTTAAACATTGCCACTGTCATACTACAGTGGGTACGGAAAGTATTCAGACCCCCTTCAGTTTTTCTTTTTTAATAAATCTGCAAAAATGTCAAACATTCAGTGTTTTTCTGTCAATATGGGGTGCTGTGTGTACATTAATGAGGAAAAAAATGAACTTAAATGATTTTAGCATATGGCTGCAATATAACAAAGAGTGAAAAATTTAACCCTCCTGTTATGTTGCGGGTCAAATTGACCCACGAACATAACTGCTGAGCAGGCATCACCTGGGAAATGAACATAACAGGAGGGAACCCTCCTGTTATGTTCATTTCTTCATATCAAATATTTGTCTCATTTAAAGCAGTTATGTTCGTGGGTCAATTTGACCCACAACATAACAGGAGGGTTTAGGGGGTCTGAATACTTTCCGTACCCACTGTATATTTGCAGAGTCATTTTTCATATGAATATGTTATTTAGTTGTCATTTTTCTAATTTAGTAGATCTGTAGATTGTATGTACAATAAACTAGGTGTTATTACTGTAAGGTGCCTTTTGTCTCTGCCTTGTGAAATAAAAAATGTCTTCATTTTCAACCATAATCATGCTGGATTAAAAGGATTAAAAGGATTTTAATCCAACACCTTTACACCTTTCTAAAAGTATCTTAAGAGTTTTCCCTTCCTGTTATAATTCTCTTCAGAAGCATCTTAAGGGGCCTGGATTGCTTGGCTTTTTCCAGTTTTCACAAATTACATTCTCAGGACAATTACCTCCACTGTTTGAATCAAGGACAAGATTAAAATAAATGAAATTCTTTCAGTTTATTTGGGATTACTAAAATTACCTTATTAGCACATATATTGGTATAAAAAAGTATGACATGGTGGGAAAAATACTTTATACTGTATAGATTAGATTTACCACATTCAGGCTCAACTCAAAAACCAGTTTACTGGCAGTGTTAGTGCTCTGTAATCGTGTCATTTTGTTGCTTGCAGGCTTTCTTTGCACCAGGACCAAGGTTGGGTCAGCATGCCACCCACTATATCCTCATGTCTCTAAGTATCACTTTTTTAGTGGTCTGTTGCTTCTTAGGTGCTGAGTCCTAAATGCAGTATTAAATTCCCTAATATAGATCTTTATCATTATACTATGCATTATGCTGAAGCAGGGAGAAAATACTTCTGGGCACCTGATGCTGGAGTCAGCTGAAATTCCTGTGTGTCAGTATACAGATGTCTAAGGTTACTTGTGTGTAGTGCAATAGTGAAAAATGTATGGGCTAGTAATTTATACTTAGAAACCATCGCATTACTCACCATGAACATATTGAGCATTTAGCTCAAAGCCCTGCTGTTACTGTGACTGGAGACTCTTAATATTGTCAAAAAAGCACTAGAGGTAATTATGTGACATCCCTGTTAACTAACTACCTGCTTTTTCTTTTGACTTGGGTAGGCCTTGTGATAACATTAAATTGCATTTCAAGTCCATTTAAATTAATCATTTTAAATTTAAAAGATTTACATCTCATTACTGTCAACAGGGCTTTAAGGTGAGGCTGTTAATTTTCTACCCTTGGTGACTTAATAACATCTTGGTGAGTCATTTCAGCTGAATTGTGTGTGGCACAGCACAAACCTTATGAATTGCTAATACCATTAATTTGAGATTTTTAAGTACAAAGAGCTAAATTAGATGACTGAGCAGCGATCTGTGCTAAAAGCTCTGAGGTTATGGGGTCTGCGACTGTGGCTCTGTATCTGTGCTTCTCTTCATTACCATTAGTGTTTTTGCTTAGGGAGATGTGATTGATAGTAGTGACAACACAACATCTTTTTTCATCCAATATAAGACAGACAGACGGGCTCCTGCTTCCATCCAGGCTGGCAGCATGATACCCACAACCTGCATCCTTTAGGACTGGTGTCACACCAGTCCTTTCTTCACTAATCTATAGTCATATGAAATATGACATATTCACTCAGAGCTGGTGGTGACGTATTAATATACGCTTCACATGCACCAAAATGTGCTGAACACAGTGGCATATGATTAAAAAGCAGAAATCACTAGAATAGGGTGCCCAGAGAGCAGAATGGTTAAGGTGTGGCACATGTACACAGGCACTATCTGTGTGCAATATCAGTAGTTCAAGTCTGACTCTAACCTATGTCACAGATCCCCACAGTGTCCCATTTCACCCTGTAATAATAATAAAGGCTAAATTCCCTAAATATGAACAGACTGTGAATAAAGTGGGGAGAACAAAAATGATATATGATGAATAATGAAAGTATGATCACAAAGACTATCACACTCAGCAAAGGCTGATCCTGCCAAATCTAATTACCCTCCTCTTTTTAAAAAGGGCAAATCAAGGACAAGCTACTGGGCCATAATATACCCAGTTCCTTTGTATGGTGTCAAAGCTGGCTGCAGGTTTGAAACAAGGCACAACACCGAGCTGTGTTGCTATTCAAGAGAAGGAACTTCAAAGAATCTCATTTTCTCCAGCCCAGCTGCACCGTGGCTCTCTGCCATGAGCCAATCATTGTAATGAGGTTTTTAAAAAGTATTTTGGAAGACAACAAAACAGTGTCACACTTCAAGCTACTACGCAGAATGTCTCGAATACTGTCTCAAAGACCGTTATCAATCAATCAATCTATCTATCTATCTATCTATCTATCCAACTTTATTTGAAGAGCACTTGTGCAGGTCATGATGATATTTAATGTGCTTTACAAATGACTGACAAACAGATAATAAGGAATGTGAACATAAAATCATCTTAAGATTAATGGACACACTTAATGAAAATATCTAATAATGGAAACAATAACAAACTAATAAAACTGGTTATGTATGTATGAATATAAAATATTCAGATACAAAGCAAGGCTAAAAAAGGTAGGTTAAGTAAAAACATCAACTGTTAAAACAGCTCAGAGCATAAAAACAAGTAAAAGATTTTTATAATCAGTGCAGAAACTGACAGGCAACCAATGCAAGGACTTTAAAGCAGGTGTAATGTGTCCACTCTGACAGCAGCTTCTGAATCAGCTGTAACTGATCTATCACTTTTTTGGGTAGACCGGATAGGAAACCATTACAATAGTCTGGTCTGCTGGACATGAAAGCTGGTATTAGTCTATGTTGCATTCAGTGGGAGGGGTTTTAGCTACTACTAAATTTTGAGATTTGGCAAACAAACCTCATGCGAAGCCCGAAAATTCAGTTCTAAGTCAATGATGCCAAAGTTTGCCTTCAACCTTGTAATTTCAGGGGTAAAAGGTTTTGTGACAGCCAGCTGTTGATATATACACTACAACGAAAAAGTGCATCTATTTGGTCTTGTGTCATCAG